TGAGTGTGGCGCAGCTCTCACCTCCTAGGGAGTCAGGCTCAGTCTCCCCTCCTAGTTGCCCAGGTTTAGTCTTTCTGTGGGACTCCGGCTCAATCTTCACTTTCTAGATGCTGTCCTGGTGTGGGATGTAAGCTTTTGCTGGTGCTCTGGTCTCAGGTTGTCCTGGTTCAGCCCATGGAGTTGGTCTCTGGAGGCCAGTGCTGAGCCCTTCAGTCTGGCCCTGACTGTGGGGAAGGGAGGTGCAGAGTGGAAGTGTGATGACCAGCCGGGTCCTCTGGACCTCTGTGCTGTGGTTCTGTCCCCCAGAGACAGCCTGGCTGAGTTGACTGACTGGGGCACCCCTGGCTGCCTGAGCAGGCCCTGGCAGAAGCTAGGCTGGTCCTGGCAGAGCTGAGCCGTTGGCCTTGTGAGGGCCTGGCTGGCTGGCTGTGTCCAGTCTACCCCTGGCTGAGGGTGCTAGGGCCTTCTGCTGCCGTGGGGTCCCCACTGACCCCACAGGGCTGTGCTGGCCCCTGCCCAGGCCTCAGAGCACTGGCCATGCCTGCGTGTGTGGTGTGACTGTGCCAGAGAGGTCTCGGGTTGGGACACCTGGGCTGTGTCTGGGATGACTCAGCCGGCCCAGGGCTGTTTCTGGGGTTTCAGCAGGTGTGGGTCACTGGGAGCTTCTGCAGAAAGAGCAAAACAGGAAACACCGCATGACAGCCTTGGTGCTGCTGTGCCAGGCACACTGCCGCCCTGACCTGGTGACCACACGGCCTAGTCCACCTCACACAGCCTGGACCTGGGGAAGTCCTCTGTCTGCTCCCTAGACCCGTCACTCTTGTCCATTCTTGAAAGAAGTTTACGATAGAACCTGACACTCACTCCCTGTGGTGTCCAAGGAGAACATGGGAAGGCTTCCCCTATTCTGAAGGTCATGTCCCAGGAAGGTTAAAAGTCAGGAGTTGGGATATGTGTTAAGGACTCAGAGTATAATTCTAGAAAGTTCAGAAGTGTTCTATTGTCTGACAGGAGGATCATGGCCAGTGAGCAGGCCCAGGACTTATTCACGGTCCAGGCCTCAGTGACCTTGGCAGAACAGGGCTCCGTGAGCAGGCCCAGGAGCTTTGAGCAGGACCAGGGCACTACAATGCACATCAGCACGCATGACCTGGACAGGCAGTGATGTGACCCACGTGGGGATCTGGACCCGTGTGCAGGTATGTGAGGTGAGCTCAGCCTGCCCTCCAGGTCCATGGTCAGGATCTGGCTGTGGTCCGGGACCAGGGTCTGTACCTCGGACCAGAACTGAGTGATCAGATCTGGACCTGAGATGAGAACTGGAATTACAGAATGTGGAGCTGCACTTGAGGATCTGTCACCGGATTCAGTGCTGTGGACACAATTTATTGATCAGGCCCTGTGTGTTCCTGATGGGGATTCTGTGTATGCAGCGAGGGTCAGCTGTGGTCTCTGGGAACATGTGGGCAAACTCAGGGTCCAGAATTGGAAGCAGAGTCCTGTTATCAGTAATAGGGTTGAGAGGTGAGGTCACGCCCAGGGGTCAAGGTCAGGACCTGTGACCAGGGCTGGGCCAAGTGACAAGTCTCATGTCCCAGTGACCTTGACCAGAGTTTGAGCAGGACCAGGTCTTGTGACCAGCAACAAGAACCAGAGTAGCACAAGTGACCAGGACCTGTGTCCATCACCAGGAGCAGCACCCAGGGCACAGTGATGATGAATAGGGTTCAGTGACCGGAACAAGAGCCTAGTGTGAGGGTCTGGCCAGCCACAGAACAGTGCCTGTACAACTGACCAGGACTGGGTCCCTTCCATTGTCCTTGTGGTTCCTGAGGATTCCTTCCCTGGTGAAGCATTCCTGTTGGACTGGAGTCTCCTTCAGGTCAGGTCAGGTCTCGGCTAGCAGGTGTGCCGATCCTAAATCCCTGAGCAGCAGGGCCAGAGCTGCCAGTCTTTGCCCCACTGCATCCCTGGCCCATCCTCACTAGCAGCCAAGCACGTTTGCTGAGGGAGGTGTTTATTGGTTGGGCAGGGGTGGCTGTGTTCAGGTCTGCTGCTTTCCGGTGTCCAGGTTCTGGCTGTAGAGCTGTTGTTCCAGGGCCACCGGCATCTTTCCTGCAATTATAGGGACGTTCCTGTGGGCAGTAAGTATGCTTGCCAGCTTATGTTGCTCAGTCCTGGCCTCAGCACAGCAGATGTACTGGAATCTGTAGGTCCAGTGCCAACAGAATCCGCACTGAGCGGTGGTCTACCCAGTATCTTCCAGAGTCCCCCAAGGTCCATTCAGTGGAGACACAAGGACGTGTTGACCTCGGGTTGTGTACCCACTGCTCCAGGCACATCCCAATTTGTTCCTTAGTCTTGGAGTCCCTCTTTGCTGCCAGGTGTGCCCCGGATGCTGGTCACGGTGAGCACCGTGCTGTACAACATGCTCAGCAGGAAGAGGGTGAGGAGGGTGATGGTGGTAGGCCACAGGCTGTCTCCGGGGGTCTCCTCCAGGCTGTCTGGTGAAAGATCCAGCACCACCCAGGGGATGGGTTCCCAGTCACCTGCAAGACACAGAAGGCCTGCTAGTTTGTCCAGCCTGGGTCCTGGTGTCCAGCCTGGGCTCCACAGGGATACTGTAGGGTGGCTGTCATGTGTGAAGACATGAGGCTTTAATGGCCACCTTTGAGCACATGAGGCCGGCAGCGTTTCTGACAGCTTTACGGAAGTGCTCTACTACAGTCCTGGCTCAGCATCATGCTAAGGGCCATACACTGACTCCGTTCTCTGTCCTGGCCTGGTCTGGTCCAGCAAGGACCTGACATCCTCTGAAAGTCTGGGTGTGAGGCTCAGTGTGTGATGGCTGTGTGGGTGTGACCTGAGGCCTCTGATGCTTTCCCAGGAAGTGTGGCCAGGTAGGCCAGGGGAGGGCCACAGCACAGGCCGAGCAGTTGGCCCAGGGTGCTAGGCGTTGCTGTCTGCCGTTACATGGGAGCTGAGCCTGTGTGTCTATGGAGGTTCATCACTCATGTCTGTTTATCTGTCATTTCTCAGTCTATTTTCCATCTGTCCATCTGGCATTTCACCAGCTACAGAACTGTCCTTGGTCACCTGACCATCCTTGCATCCATCTGTGCGTGCCTGCCTCCTCTCACCCCACAGCCTGTCCATCCATCCACCTCTCAGTGCATCCATCCTCACGTCTGTCTACCTGTCCATCTGTCCTCATGTAGTCAGTCCACCCACATATCTGACCCCCATCCAGCTGTCATCCATCCATCATCCACAGCTCTCTATTTCACCATCCCTCCACTCAGCTATCCATCCATCACCTGTCCTTCCATGCACATGTCCAACCTATCACTCTTCTATTATCCATCCATTCATCAAACTGTCTGTCCATCCATCCATCCATCCATCCATCATCCATCCGTCCATCCATCCATGCATCGTTCACTCTCATGATCCATCATCGCAAGTGCCTATTCTGCATCTATTAATTGTCCCTGTTCCCTCTCTTTCAAGAGTTACTTCTGTGGGTCAGTTCCTGGCCCCCACGGGATGCTGTTCACTGCTGTGGGGCACACATTCCCCTGTGGTCTGTCTCAGCCCATGTCCCTTGTGATGGGACGTTCTGGGGACAAGTGGCTGGGGTGTGTATGGGGCTTCTCATCCCTGGGCTCTGAGAGAGGAGCTGGCTGACCTAATTACCTTGATGAGGCCTCAGAGGCACCATGGATAAGAGCAGGTTGCCCATCTCTCTCTTGTTGAAGCCCTGGTGCCAGGCGTGCCTGCATGGGTCATGGGACTGCTCCCCTGATGCCCTGTGGACCCTAAGCAGGGCTGAGGCCGTGGAGGGTCCTGAGTGAGTGGTGTGGTCCCTTGCCCTGCCCAAAGCCTCTGGTTTGACTCCCACTTGGCTGTGGCAGGATTGAAACTTGAAGTGTGGGGACTTTCAGGGGGAGTGGCTATGTGGGAGTGGTTGTGGAATTGGTCGTTGAGCTGTGTATGGCTGGATATGCAGGGCTGCCCCAGTGGGTCATTTGGGGTGTGAGGAGACCATCTGAGGGCTTGGGCAATGAGGTCTCTGTCCTTCCTGGTGCCAGGTATGGGCTGTGGGTGTCTTGCAGGCGTAGGGCTAGGTGTGTGTGGGTGTGAGCCTGTGTGAGCATGTGCTCCTGTGTGCACACACACAGAGAATAGGGTGGGGTATGAGTGGGTGTGGTGTGTCTCCTGGGGTGTTCGTGCTGCCCTGTGTTTCTGGAGGTTTCTCTTCCTGGGCAGATGCTCTGACTGGCTGGGAAGGCCATGCCAGGTGCCTGTCCTCATCACGTGTCCCCGGATGGAGCCCCTCATTTCTTTGCCATCCTTTCCCTCTGCTCAGCAGCAAAGCTGGCTCTGTAAGGGCTAATGGCCATATCAGTTTCACCCAGGAAGTGCTTGAGGTGCCCCTGTGCTTGGGCCCTAACTTGAGCTGTGATACATCAGCCTCGGATCACCCCAGGTCAGCCTGGATACATGGAGGGCACACTCCCACAGGGCGCTGACACAGGCTGGTTCACACTTCCACAGGGCACAGCACAATAGCTCATTCACACAGGCTCACTCACACAGGCTCACTCACACAGGCTCATTCACAGGCTCACTCACACAGGCTCACTCACACAGGCTCACTCACACAGGCTCACTCACACAGGCCCACTCACACAGGTTCCCACAGGTCACTCACACAAGTACACAGATACATTGCAGACACACACTCACTTGTGCATTTGCTCACAGTAACACATGTGTCCACTCACACTCCCTCACAGAGCACACACATGCCCTAGCACTTGTCACCTCACCCTCAAGCACACATGCACTCTTGTCCTCTCACAGTCACACAGCTTGCTGGGGGGCTTGGTGAGGTGCCTGAGGCCCCCACAAGCTCCTGGCCTGGGGTGATCTCTCCCTCCCCCACCCCTTGGCTGCAGCCCCTGAGGGAGACAGTCAGGCACAAGGACCCGCAGGGCTGCTGGGGCCAGCACACAGTTTATTCAGGGCAGGGCAGGCAGGCGGCTCAGTAGCAGACACTTTCCACGTCTGCCACGACCACAGACACATTGACGTGGGTGGGTTTACCCGACAGACGGTCGATGGTCTTCTCGGTGAAGTTCTCGGGCAGGCCCTCGTGGCCCACCACGCAGGAGAAGTTGTCCCCGTTGTTCCAATCCACGACCGAGACGCGCAGCAGGCTGGTCACGGCGAAGGTGCTGGAATTCTGGTTGGGTTCTGGCAGGGGCTTAAACACGATGAAGTCTTCCTTGGGGACCAGCTTGTGTAGGTGCAGCCAGTAGATGAGCACGTCCTTGGGGCTGAAGCCGCGCACCAGGCAGGTCAGTGTCACCAGCTCGTTCAGGGCCAGCTCTTCTGATGGTGGCGGTAGCAGGTGCACCTGGGGTGGGATGACATTCCCTGGGAGGGGACAGAGGTGTCAGGGATGCGTGCAGGACAGGACTGGGCCTCCGGGTCCCTCTGAGGATGTGTGTAGAGCCTCAGTCCAGGGCTGTAGGGAGGAGGTGGGCAGGGTAGTGGGGCAGCTGGCAGCGTCTGGGGGTGTGTGTGTCTTTGCTCACCTGTGTCTTTGCTGATGGTGTCAGTCAGTGAGCCCTCTATCTCAGGGTGTTGGACAGTGCATGTGAAGGTCTTCCCCTCTTTCCAGAGTTCTGCACAGCCAGGCAGCACGCTGGACACACTGTAGCAGCCGCAGGAGTCCTCCTGGGCACTAAGCAGCACAGGTGTGTTCCCCGTGTCGGGTGACCAGGTGAAGACGGCACCATCGGGGTTCTTCAGGCCTTTCAGTGTGCAGGTGATGTTGGCTTCTGAGTTGAGGAGCAGGTCTTTGATGCTTGGCCGCTGCAGGAAGATGCTGGGCTTGCAGGAGGGGCAGGGGCAAGGACATTGGGCTAATGGAGGTTGTTGCACAGAAGCAGAGAGGAAAGAGTGTGTCAGTATGCTCCTCCCATGCGTTCCTGTCCAGGTTGCCCTTCTGACCCACTCCGTTCTGTGAGATCCAGCCCAGCAGCCCGCCCTGAGCCTCAGTGGCCCTGTCCCACCCTAGTCTGTTCACTGACCTAGGCAGGGTACGTCCACCTGCTGGCCGTTGTTGTAGTGCTGCACGGTGCTCAACACATTGTTTCCTTCAGGACACGGCACAGCTGGTATGAGTTGGCTGCATGAGGTGTACAGGCTCCCAGAGGCCTTGGGTGGGAAGTTAGTGATGTTCCCGTTGACATTCCAGCTCACACTCAGAGGGCCCACAGGGAAGTAGCCCCGGATCAGGACGCCAACAACCACGTTTCCATTACTATTAGGTTGAGGGAGGCTCAGCGGGAAGATGCTGGGGCTCACCGCAGGATCTGGAACACAAGACCTCTGTGAGACCATCGGCTATCACATGGCTGCACCCCCATGAGCCCCTGAGGTCAGGGCCCTGCCGCTATCTGCAGTGGAACCCTGGACCAGGGTGGCTAAGGATGAGCCCAGGTCACAGAGCAGTGTGACCGTGAACCCGGGGCCTGGCACTGTCTGTCAACTCCTGCCGTCTGGTGACTCCCACCTTGCTTCTTAGTCCCATGTTGCTCCAGCCTGGCTTGGTCATGGAGCCATCACAGGTCCTTGGCTCCCAGGGTCCCTGGCCCCCTGGGTGCACAGCCAAGCTCCTCCCAAGTTTTGTGGCCAGGATATGTGAAGAGACAGAGCAGCCTGGACATGGTGAAGGCCGAGGAGAGCTGAGAGTCTGCCTACCTGTGTCCTTTCCTCCCATATCTGATCAGGGTCCCTGCCCACTTCAGCCTGGACCCCACACCCAGCCTCCCCACCTGCCATCATCAGCCATGGACATCCTCAGGCCACATGTCCTGGAGGACAGCCTAGGGCAGCTCCTGCCAGGAACCTGAATGTGGCTCTGAGATGACAGACGGGGCCTGAGAAGCAGGCTATGCCTGTAGGGAACACAGCAGTGCCTGGCTACCAGGGGCTCTGGGTTCTAGCTGAATTCACCCAGGAAGCTTAGCTGAGCCCAAGTGTAGGGTGGTTGTACTAAGAGAGTCCAGTACATTTTACTAACCTCAAGGAGCCAGCCCAGACCAGCCCGCCCAGCCCATGTCCTTAAAGCTCAGCTCATCCTAGTCTTGGCCACCTCAGCCTAGCTCTGCTAAGCGCACCTCTGCCCAAGCCAACTCACTCAGACTGGATCAAGCCATGTTAGCCCAGCAAATTCCTCCTCTGCTGTGTCCAGCCCAGCCCTGCACAGGTCTACCCAGCCTTGCCTAGCTCAGCTCAAGCCAGCTCACTCAGCCCAGATCAGGCCATGTGAGCCCAGCTTGACCCTGCGCTGTTGCTCTGCTGTGTCCAGCTCAGCCAGGTAAGCCTTGCACATCTTAAGTCAGGAAAACCTAGTTTAGCTCAGTCCTGGACAGCTCAGCCCAGCCCAGCCCAGCTCACCTCAACACAGCTGACCTCGCCAAGCTCCGCTTAAGCCAACTCACTCAGCCTAGATCAGGCCAGGTTAGCTTAGTTAGTCTATTCTGCTGCTTTGCTGTGTCCAGCCCAGCTCAGCCAACCCAGCCCAGGCCAGTTCAGCCAAGTTCAGCCCAGCTCAGCCAGCCCAGCTCAGTTTAGCTAGCACAGCCTAGGCCAGCTGAGCCCAGCGGAACTCAGCTCAACCTGGTCTAGCCCAGCCCAGCCCAGCCCAGCCCAGCCCAGCCCAGCCCAGTCCAGCGCAGCCCAGTCCAGCCCAGTTCAGTCCAGTTTAGTCTAGTTCAGCCCAGATCAGCCAGGCCAGCTCAGCTCAGCCAACCCAGCCCAGCCCAGCTCAGCTTAGCCCTGCCCAGTCCAGCCTAGCCCAGCCTAGCCCAGCCTATCCCAGCCCAGCGCAGCTGAACTAATGTCAACCTAGCTAAGCCCAGCCTAGCCCAGCCTAGCCCAGCCCAGCCCAGCCCAGCCCAGTTTAGTCCAGTTCAGCCCAGCTTAGCATAACCAACTCAGCTCAGCCAGCATTGCCCAACCAACCAAGGGCATCTTATGCTAGGTTAGTCCAGCTTAATTCTGCCTGCTCATTTCAATGCAGATTGCACAGCCTAGATCAGGTCACATTAGCCAGCCCTGCGTAGTTCTTCCCAGCCCAGCTAAGGCCAGCTGAGCTCAACCCAGCACAGTTAAGCCAAGCCCAGTGAGCCCTATAAGTCCGATTCAGCTCACCCAGCGCAGCTCAACTCGGATCAGCTTATCCCAGCATGTCTTAGAACAGTCCAGTGTATTCCCTCAGCACTGCACAGCTCAGCTAGCCTAGTTTACCCAAACGTAACCTAGGATAGCTCAACCAAACAAGCTCAACTAACCCAGCTCAGTCCAGCGCAGCTCAGTTCACCCAGCCCTGCCCTGTTCAGTTTAGCTAAGGTCAGTCAGTTTAGTCATTTATAGCTCAACTAAGCAGCCCAGCACAGCGTAACACATCCTAGCTAAAGTACTCAGCTCAGCAACCAGCCCAGCTCAGCCCAGTCTACCCCGAGCAGCTCGAACACCTCAGCTCTGCCCAGTCCACCTAACCCTGAGCAGCTCAGATACCCCACCTTTGCCCAGTTTAGCTCGACGATTCTAGATCAGTCCAACCAAACCACCTCACTCAGCTCAGCCCAGTCAAGCCAAGCCCAGCTACACCCAGCTTAGTATGCTTAGTCAAGCCAGCTCGAGGCACCTCATGTAGGGTCAAGCCACTCAGCTCTGCCTAGTCAGACAGGCAGAGCCAGCTCAGATCAACTCTGTCTTGCTCAACCAACCTTGCCCAGCCCAGCTCAATCTAGCAAACACCATTCAGGCTTGTTCTAAACAGCTCACCCAGTCCAGCCCATCTCAACCCAGAATGGCAGTTTCAGCCCAGTTCAACTCAACTTACCCCAATCAAGCTCACTCAACCCAAAAACCTCAATTTAGCATGCTCAGCCCACCTCAGCCATGTGAGTACAGCTGGGCTCAGTTCAGTCCAGCTGGCTGTGGCCGTCCCTCAGTGTCCCCATGTCCTCCCCTCGTCTGTCTCAGCACAGCCTAGGTCTCACATCAGCCCACAGGGCTCCTGTCACTGGGACCAGTGACTCTGCTTGTCCTAACTGAGCTCTGCTTGCTGGACTAGGTTGATCACCAAGCCCAGCTGGACCCAGCCTGCTCAGTTTGTGGCAGTGTCCTTCCTGGGGGCCTGGGTGCTGGCTGTGCTCTCTCGTCCTTCCCCTCTCTGTCCATGCCTGTTCTTCCTCCACCCCAGGATGCTCAGGTCCAGCGTGGCTGAGACTCTGCATGTGCGGTGGCTGAGACCCTGGGGGACTCACCTGTCTAGGGTGGTGGAGCATCCCCCATGGTGGGGTGCAGGCTGACTGTGCTGTGGCTCGGTATCAGTGTCAGATTCGTCATGGCTGCCCTGGCTGCTGGGTGCAAAGGGGCTGAGTGCAGAGGGAGCTGGGCCTGTCCAGCTCCTTGGGAAAGCTGTGCGGCTGTCCTGGCCCTTTGCCATGAGTGGGTAGGCTGAATGAGAAGTGCAGGTTGGGGAGGGGCTGGATGACTGTCTGTGGTCCCCAAGATGGGGTCACTCACCACTTTCCGCTGCCGTGGGAGACGCTTGCCTGCACGTGATATCTGGTCTGTGGTCTGGCTGTGGTGGGGACAGGTGTGTGGCCTGGGAAGTGTGACCCAGAGGTCATGGTGGGGTCAGGGTCCCGTGTGGCCAGGCCCAGGAAAGTGCTGTGGGCTGAGATGAAGGGAAAGAGACCACAGTAGATACCAAGGCTCAGAGAGGCTGGGGCAGGGATGGAAACAGAGAAGAAGGTCGGAGGGCTTGGACCTGGGCATGAAAGGGCCATGATCTCCAGGAGTCTTGGAGAAGGCCTGTGTGGCCACAGAGTTGGTGTAAGGGTAGGGAGAGGCTTTGTGCTGTGGCCTGGTGTCCCTGCAGCCTGAGTCTGGGCTGGGTTGCCCCTGCGTTGACAGCACAATAGGTACTAGGGTCCTTGCCTGAGGCCACCGAAGCTGTAGCTTGGCCTTCCCACTCGTGGCCAGAACTTTGACTCCAGGGTCTGTGTCCAGTGCCCTCAGGCGGAATGTGTGTCCAGGGTGGTCCTATGCTCTCCGTATCCATCCCTGTGTCCCCTGTCTCTTTAGGATACCCAGTGGGACCTTCTTGTTCCACATTCCTTGACGGCAGGCAGTGAATGGGCGGGGGCTGCATACAACGCTAGCTCCTCCATGGGGACCGGGTGTGCTTGGGTCAGAGGCCTGGGATCTTCTGTCTGAGGGAGCCTCACCTGTGCCTTGGATGGTAGGGAGTAACCTGAAGGTGCCCTGGCCACGGATAGTCCATGGGAGAGCCTGTAGCCAAGGGGTCCTGGTTGGATGGCCCTGGTTCTGGGACTGCAGTGTCTTGCGCTGACCACAGAGAACTCTGGATGTGTGGACGATGCCTGACGTGGTCACCTTGGCCGAGTGTCTTCTTTTCCTGCAGGGATCTGCACCTGATCTAAGGGCGGGATGGCCACTGTGATGTGAGAACAGTTGGAGAGAAGAAAGAGGGAGACAGATGACAGCCTGGAAGGGCAAGGCTGATGTCAGAACCCGGGAACTCCATCGGGTCTCTATGTGGGTTGTGTCCTTGTGTTGTCACTGCTGCCTCCCAGGGAGGTGTTGGCAGGACACTGGGACCTGGACTGGAGCAGGATGTGATCCCAGAGCTGCCATGAGGTGTGTGGAGTTCTCGCAGCTCGCTCTCCCTGCTGTGCCATCGCCTGCCCCAGGACAAGTCAGTGTCTCAGGAGCAACAGGAACTTCCCCTGGAGCACCGAGCACAGTACTGAGATCTGAGGCTGTTCCTTTCAGCACACACAGGAACTGGAAGGCGCTGAAAGGGAAGGCTGCCCTGAGGGAAGGGAAGAGGAGCAGCAGGAAGCCGGACAGTGGGCACCAGGCACAGCTCCCTGTGCTTGCTGGGCAGCCTGATGGCCTGAGGAAGCGGTCCCTCTGCCCTTAGCACCTGCTGCTTGCCCACTCAGAGTCCTCTCCCAGGTCTATGTGGCACCTTCCAGTCGGGGCCTTTGTGGGAGTTTGATGTGGACTTTCGCAAGGAAGTGTCGCGAGAACTATGACCTGGAGACCTTGAGGAATGTTGGGGACATGTAGAGGGAGTGTGCCCCTGTGTGGGAACAGCAGACAGAGAGTGAGAGATCACAGCAGACAGAAGTGTAGGATGATAGCAGGAGTCTTTCTTGGCCTAGCTTGTCGGCAGCAGCTCCCACTACGCTCCAGGAGCCACTGCACTGGGCTGCCCAGGTCAAGCTTTGTTCAGCTCTCATCCTCCAATCAGATTGAAAGGCGAGCAGTACAGGTTCCACACAGTCAGTTACCTAAGTGGCAGGAGGCTGGATGGGAGCGGCCAGAGCCCAGTGTTTCCATGCAGTTCATTAACTGAAGTGGGTGCAGTGTGAGGCAGGAGGGGTCAGGTGCCCGGAGCCTCTGGAGCCAGTTTCCTCAGATGTGTCTAACTTGAGTGGCCCGGGCGGTGGGCAGGGCAGGGGGCCTCCTTTCCTGCACTGTCCTTGCTGTCTAACCTGCAAATGGGAGCTAGCTATCAAGTGGAGCACCCCTATCACAGAGGGAGGTGCTGAGTGACTGGTGAGGTGGCCTTGGGCTGGGAGCAACTCCAAGGGTCAAAGCCTACACCGATGGTATGCCTGGTTGGTGAATGTGGTATGTCTATGTGTCTGAACCTCTTTAAGATGGGGCGCCACAGCAAGGTGTCGAAGTGTGGTGGGTGGGTGGTCTGGGGCAGACCTGATTCCCTCTGGTGGTTGTCTCCTATGGGTAGGAACAGGTTGTTTTCTGTGTATTGTGTCCTGGCTGAGTGGTGAACCCTCTTTCCTGTTGCTATGGATTCGGGTAGGGTCATCATCCATTGCCTGCTGAGGCAGCCTCACCTCCTCTGGATCCAAAGTGCAAATGGACCTGTCATCCACGGGACTTGACTGTATCCCTGCTGCTGGGCCGTCCTGCATTCCTGTCTACAATGTGCCAGGGGTGGCTTTTATCCACGGCCTGCTCTCATGTCCTTAGCAAGTGATGGGGTTGTTCTGGCCGTGAACTCCTGTCTGTCTGTGTCTGTGGGGTCTCCTCAGGTTGGCTTGCCAGCCCCTTGGGAGCTGGTGGATGCCTTGTTGATCCCATGTCTGGATTCCTGAATCCTGCTGCTGTCAGGCTGGGTGTTAGGGTTGTGTTTCTCAGGCTGATTTTAACCCTTTACTCACACCCCGAGTGGGGAGCTGGTTCCAGTGGGGCAGCTCTGAGTTTAGAGGGGTCCCCCGTTTTTCTTCATGTTTCTGTGCCTGTTTGCACCCTGCTGTGATAAGGACTCACCCCTTTGTCATCCTCATCCTCACCAGTAGGTGCTATTGTGTGTCTGACATTAGCCACGGTCCCTGGAGGGAGGTGATTCCTAACTCTGGTGTGTATTTACACTCCTTGGCAGTTTAATTGGATTATGTGATTCTTTATGGTCACTTTTGGAATATTTTTTCTTTCTGTTTTTAAAGAATAGAATTTGGCCTTCTCTGGCAGGCTGCCGATGCTGGCTGCAGTGATAGGGCTGCTTGGTCCCAGCACACCCCTCCCAGGTGTAGTGTCTGCACGCGGCCTTGGCAGCTCACTGCCTCCAACATGGCACAGGAGGTGTCGGAGTTCCTGAGCCATAACCTGCAAGCGGCCTCCTGGGTGGTGGAGCTGTGCTATGGAGGGCGGAGCAGGTGTCAAAAGTACTGACGTCACCACCGTGAGTTTCTGCCCCGGAACGCCGGGGCCTGGGGTCCGCTGGCCCGGTTGCCGAAGGCGCTGAGAGCAGGAGCCGTTCTGGGTAGCTGCAACAGCTCATCTGCTTCTTCATCCCTTGGGCCAACCATGTCTTTTTTGGGTGCCAGTACCCTCAAAAAGCAATGGACAAGATACTTAGTACTGCTGAAGGCATCAACGTGCCTGATGCTTCAATCCATACAAAAGATGAACTGGTTGCCAAGGTGGGGTAGAAGAACCATTCAAAAAACATGCCATAGAAGAAAAAAACAACTCTACAGTTGAGCAAGATCATGCAAAAATTTCGGCCAGAAGAGGACGTGGGTTGGCTCAGCAGGAGAACAGATGAACAGGTTTATCTAGCAAGTTAGAGAGTGGTGGGAACCGGACTCAGAGCTCTGACACCTCTGATCAGAACAGCTCGGCAGTGCTGGTGATGGATCTGTTTCCAGTCAAAGCACAGGTGCTTCTTCCCAGGTAACCACAGGAGCTGGACAAGCCGAGTCAGACACGCCAGATAAACACTGGGCAGCATCATTGGTTTCCTTTGTGAAAGCTGGTGTGAATGGTCATGTGACCCAGGCTACCGACCCCAGACAGCAGAGTACTTTAAAGGAGAGCCCTTCAGTTCCCGCTTGGCAGAGCAGTTCAGAGGTGGACGTGCCCTTGTTGGGTGCTTCCGGAAGCTACGCCTATCTGAAGCCAGGAGTCAGGAGCTACTTCTGGGTCTCCCATATGGGTGCAGGTCCCAAGGCTTTGGGCCGTCCTCGACTGCTTTCCCAGGCCACAAGCAGGGAGCTGGATGGGAAGCAGGGTTGCCTGGATTAGAACTGGTGCCCATATGGGATCCGGGTTCACACAAGGCAAGGACTTTAGCCTCCAGGCTGCCACGTGGGGCCTGGGTTAACTTCTAAAGCCAGTTTGGAGGCAAATGTTTCATCATCAGTTTCTTAAAACAGTTCCTCATCAGGCGCATTACTAATGCCCCAAGAGCAGCTTCTGAACAAACACATCTCTGCTAACCTCCGAAAAGACTTCCCAGGCAGCTGCAGCCTTGCTAGCTTCCAAGAGCAGCTCCCGGCCCAGTGGCTCTCTAGTTTCTCAAGACACTCCTTAGCAAGTATATCCCAGCTGGCCTCTAGCAGCACCTCCCAGTTGCCCTCTGAAATTTCTTCACAGTCAAGTGATAGTTCCATCAGGCTTTCTTGCAAGTTAACCCATGAGGTTGTGAAGCGGAAGCAGCCTTTCTTCAGCAGACTGTGGCTCGGTGGTCTGGAAGCTGGTAGCTGCTGGAGGCTTCAGTCCCACCGTGAATCATGGAGAGGTCCTCAGTGCACCTGGCGGGCACTAAAAGCCTCCCTGTTTTTTTTTTTTTTCTTTTTGATCTCATTAAAAGAACTGGCAAACCTACCTAAAAAGAAGAGTTCTCAAGAAAGTATTGTTTGTGAATCGAGGTGCAAGTCTGTTATTTAGGCACTGGTTGTGGAAAGTAAAGAACATGCAAAAGCAGTTACATCAAGAGAAGCGTTGAAGTTATTTCTAAGGAAACGGTGGTGGTCAAAATCTATAAGAGGAGATACGGAGACAGTGAAATCAAAGAGCTGCTGCTTCCGGATGAAGAGTAAGACCTGCCAAGTTGCCTCCAGCATTCTCAAGGGTGACTGTCATGTGTCCCAGACAAACTGCACACAGGATCTGACGTATGAAGAAAACAACCAGCTCACTTTTGTATAATATGAAACACAGGCTTTCAAAAACTTTTGTATTGCTTTTTTCCAGCTTTGCAGAAAATTGACATTCTAGTTCTCTTCACAAAGTAGGAGTTGTAAGTAGTTTATGACTCATGGTGTACATTAGAAGCAATGTATTAAGAGCATGCCAATATGCTGTTTTATTTGCTGAAGAAAATGCAGGCTTCCGTTTTTAGTGACACATTAGATACAAAGACATGTAGTTCTAATCTTGAAAAAAAAACTTTTGTGCTAGTAATTTTTGAAAATGTACTAAGTTGTTGACATGCTTTTTTGCCCGAGCTGAATAAACGGCATCAAAGGGGGCCGCAGTATTCGAATGTCTGAAATCTGTGAAGCATAAGGTTTTAGGAATGTTGCCCATAATATTAGACTTGTCTGTTAAAGAATAAAGGGAAAACCAGCTGTTTCAGTCTGATTTTATCAGATTTTGTAAGCATTTGAGACACAAAGCAGTATAAAGTACCCATTGTTTTATTTTGAAGCTGTATAAAATTTCCCATGATTTTCACCACTACTGATTCGGTTAATTTATGTTCTGAGGTTGAAAAAAAATGTACACTTTTTTGTAGAGACATAAATGTAAGTTTCTGAAATAAGCCTATATTGTGACTACTATTTTTTTAAAGATTTATTTATTTATTGGAAAGTCAGATATACAGAGA